ATGTACATAGGGTTGAAGTGTGTGCTTGTGCAGTGAGACAGGAAACCGTAGAGATGAGTGGAAGACACAAGAGTTTTCAGGTGTTTCTGTTTGTTCTGAAGGGATGTGTTGTTACGCAACCTTCTATTTGAATAATAAGAAAAGAATCAATTCGTCTTGCTTGGTGAAATGGGGAAACTTTAGACAAACTGTAGCACCCAAAGAGAAAGAAAAGGGACGGACTTAATGTACTTAAGCTATTCTAAATAAAAGGTTAAAAAAAAAGGAATTTGAATATGCAAAATGTTTTCCACGAGGCCAAAATGAGTCCTATGGCAACTGCATTCATTCCATACATCAGAAACAAGGTCTCACATAGAACCCACTACACTCTGGGCACTGTGAAGGAGCCCCATGCATGTTAGAGCCAGTTGGTAGAAAGCTGTGATGTGCCTTGTGCTGAAATAAACAGGATTATGACAACCACCACATAGATATTTGAAATATAATTAAGAGAAAGATAATAAAACTGCATAAGATTTAAACCCAGAAGATGAAAAGGTATTTTTCTTTTATGACAAGAACCCAAATCCTGAGCAAGAATTAGTGGCAACAGATGAGCAAAGATCTCAAAATCGAGTCTTGAGAAACAGTTACTCTTAAGCATACACTAATATTTTTTTTTCTTGAAAAAAGAAGGAATGTAATAAAGTCATAGCAATAGAGTCCCAGATGCAAGAACAGCAAAGACTCTGGTATGAATAAACATTGTACCAAACATATAAATCACTACATTTTTGAGTGAGAAGAATACAGGCTCGACTTACCTTACCGCTGCAAAAGGCTGGAATAAAAATTACTGGCTTAGAGAAGCAACTTTCACGTGTATCTGAACATCAAACACACAGAGATATAAAATAAAAAATAACTAGAACAGAAAAAGTTTTCAGTCTGACCTTAAAAATACTGAGCAAATCACTAGATGAGGCCAGATCAAAAGGAAGGGCATTACACCAGCTTGTAGCCAGATGTGAGAGGTCCCAGACTGCACAGGGCACAGATGGTATAATATGGGGTGGCGGAAGGTGGGGGAGGCCTGCAAGCACAGCAGAAACATGAGGCGAGCAAACCTGGTTTGGCTTACACAGGTAAGACAGCTTGAAAGAATGACTCGCTTTCAAGCCACTGATAAGATTTTAAACGTGAGACAAATGTTGCTAGAGGCCTCCAGCTGAAGTGTGTGCAAGGAGTTTACATTTGAAATTCTCTTGTGTGCTAATTCAAAGAGGGAAAAAAATGCTCCCAGGGGGTACAAGTGAGGTCATGGTGACTTAGTGTAAGTGAATACCTAGGAGCCAGCCTCAACAGTGCTTAAGAACACATACAGTGGTTGAAAGCCTGGTTACCTGATTAGTCTGAGAAATCTGAAGGGAATTCAATATACACTCCCAAAGCAACTTCTTAAGAATAGCAAGTTTAGGGGCTGGAGAGATGGCTCAGCGGTTAAGAGCACTGACTGCTCTTCCAGAGGTCCTGAGTTCAATTCCCAGCAACCACATGGTGGCTCACAACCATCCGTAATGAGATTGGATGCCCTCTTCTGGTGTGTCTGAAGACAGCTACAGTGTACTCATTAAAAAAAAAAAAAAAAAAGAATAGCAAGTTTACACGTGCGTTAAAAATGTATCCCAAGTCTTCAATAGTCCTCATTCATTATATGAAGTGATAAGCTATATTCTATTTTATCCTTTACAATTTTAATAAATGTAATAAACTGCTTTTTTTTTTGCATGTAACAATAGATACACTACTAATTTCCCACCAGAAACCCAGAAGCATCAATTTCAGGATCATTTCTATAACACAAAGTTGCCAGTTTAACAAATCCCCAGATAAACACTTCTTCCCAAACAGATGTTTAAAGAAAAAAAAAACCAATCCAATCTTAATGTTCAAAGGTAAAACTGGAAATGTTGTGTTTCGTCAAATGAATCCCCTCCCTTTTTTTCAGGCAGCAACCAAAACAATAACATGGAACACACATTTCTGTAAACCCATGATTTCAGAAGGACACAGAGCATAGAATATCCAAAGGTTAGTTTATTGGATATTCTAATAAGCACATCTGACACACACAGATACAATGAGACTATAAATTTCAGTAGCAATGATGGACAAAAAGGTATTGACTTCATGATGACCTTTGTCTCCCCGTCCGCATGCTTTGGGGAGCGTCTATTTGATTCTTTTTAACACTTGTATGTATTAAAGACTCCCTCCAGTTTAGTAACAGCTTGGCTAAGCTACGTTTAGAAAGTGACAATTAATTTTAGTGGAAACTCATTCCCAGGCTACTTTGATAGTCCTCTGAACAGTTTTGCGGTATTTTACATGCACTTTTATAGCTCGGTAACATTCATTTAATCTTGTTCAATGATGCTGAACCCCAGATGCCATAAGACATTATAGAAAAGTAGTTACTGCACATATGGAGTAGCTACTTTTTTCTGAACATTAATTTTTCTTCTCTTAACAGGCTGGAATGTTATTTAGAAAAGAGAGAAGCCATGGCTCAGTATTAAAGGTTTCTATTATGGACTTCCAGAAATGGGTTACTTATGATCGCAGTGGTCCTAGCTATAACGTTCTTAGTTAGGAATATCTTCCCTTTGAATAGTGTTTTTGTTTTTTGGTTTTTTTTTTTGTAAGACTGTTGGTGATATACACTGCTGTCAGGGTATCTTGGAAAGCTTGGGTAGGGAGGTCCTCACCGGTAGTATGCAGAAGTTGGATATAATCTATAATCGGAAATTCTCAAAGTCTTAAGGTCTCAAGACCTTCATTAGAGTGACAGGGTGCCAGCCAAAGCTCCGGGGTGCAGCCGGGGAATATGCTTGGTAGGCTAGCACCCCAGTGGTCCTTCTGCTCACTAAGCAGTCAGACACACTGGCGGATGATCTCAAAGGTCCCTTCCACTCTCGAATTCTATGTCCTTGGGATCTCTTTAAAATCGTGAGTCCTGTCAGGATGAAGATTGACTTCTGGCCTCAGCAGATTAAGAAAATGTAAGAATTCGTGTTGGTTCACATGCAAAATAAAAACAAACAGAAAAGGTAACCTCTCGTGTCTAGTTAGATGGTTAAGGAATCAGTTTAGGGTTTTTCTTGAGAAGGGAACCCACCTAACTGCCCTATCTACTCATTTCTAAGGCATCCCCCCCCCAACCCCTTTTACTCTGTGGGTCTTCCAAACTCTTAAGAGTAAGTTAAGGTGATACAGAAACCACATAGGGGCACTTCTCTTCTTTCCTTTCACAGGGGAGGAGAAGGGCGAATTTGCATTCTTCAAGGCATTCTATATCTCTCGAAAAAGAAAGGAATCCTAATAGTTTGTCATCATTAGGCATGCTAATCAAATATTGATAAAACATTCCCTATACTCTTACGTGGATTTTTCCCCCTCTATTTATAAGTACTTAAAAACCCAAGGAGAGGCTGGAAGCTGAGATTTTTTAAAGTGCGTCTACAGCATTCTGTCTGTGATTTGTTTTTATTGGGCATATGAGAATTAAATGTCTATCGCTAAATATGATTTGTACGCTCTCTAACGAAAGTTTCATAAAGCCCTAGAGCAGCAGGCAGAAAGCTCTTAAAAGAATCCCACACACACAGCGGGACCGCTGGTCCAGAACTGTCAGCTGGAAGGCAGCGCCACCATGTGATCGTTGCAAACGCTGTCAGTACTGTGTGCATAGATAGGAAAGTTGGAATCCGTGGGGAGTGGAGCATCTGCCACACTACAGTGATCTCTAGACCCCAAATCTAATGCCATTCAGTCAGGAGAGGGAGTGAGAACTAGCAGCTGATGTCATGAGGATATCTGAGTATGTGTTGTTATGCTAGCCAGAGTAGGTCAGAGGCTCAGTGCTGACCAGGATGACTTGGAGGAAAGGATAGGCTGACAGACGCTACTCTCTTCCCTACACAGACGCCTGTGTAGATCACAGTTCACAGACTTTGATGCCCAGCTCTCCTGATGGTTAGATCTCCACCTTTCAGTCAGAGACAGGTTCAGTCAACGCTTAGCTGCTATACTGTATATTGTGTCTACTGGACTCAATTACATCTAAACTTCCTTCTGATGGTGAAGTTTTACGACTGCATTTACAGTGCAGGCATGCAAAGGATGAGGGGCTAAGAACAGTCTAGTGAACTTAACCTTACGGTTTCTTAGTCTTGTTTTCCTTCTTATGTTTGTTCCCTGTCAAGGGGACCATGAATTAAATTACAGCATTGCATGTTTGCTGAGTCAGTTCAGAAATAGGGGATGGCTAGGGAGAAAGAGAACATCTTAAAAACATCCAGGAAGCGCTCACAGAAGTCACGGAAATGTTTCAGGGACAAGTCTTTCGTGGCTCCTACTTCTGATTCAGTGGGTGCATCTCTCTCAATGGAGGCAAAAGCCGATACTATGTCAATCAAGGGGATAGTAGGGTAGAGGAGAAAACACATTGGTTTCAGCCAGATTTCCTGGCTTGCCTCAAAGACTTACAGGAGAAGGAAGCAAACCCCTTGGTTTCCTGTGTAGCACTCTGCAGAGCAGCCAGGGCTGCACCTGCAGGACTTGGCTGAAGGACCAAGATTCTACTGCATTCTCCACTTGCCCCAGCAGCTGCCAAGATGGCTGAACTGCTCTCACACTGAGTCACGTGCCCAAAATGTTGCTTCCATGTCCCCAAGCATCAGCTTCTGTCAGGAGGCAACGAGAGGCTTTAAATTGCTTAGGTCAGCTTAGTTCTCAGTCAGTCATGACTAAAGATTCAATTAAAACCATTTCCAAAGCAGAAGTTGACAAAATCTACTCAAAGTAATTCAGAGTCAGGTTCTGAACGTCAGGTGGGTTAAATCCTTCTCAAGGTTAGCATTTTCCAAAGAGAAACAGGTGCAAAAGTTCACTGGGACAAAAAAAAAAACAAAATAAAAACAAAAAACAAATCAACTACTTTGTGTGGTTGTCATGTTTTGTGTTTATAAACAATAGAAACTCGAAAGCATTAACATGAGCCTAACATTCCTATTTATTTTACTTTATTTTTACTTCAAAAGCTACATACATGCAAAAATTGAACATGTTATCACAAATGCTTTAAATAAAGTTCAAAAATAAAAATTTCTCAAAATTTATTTACTTATGGAAATATATATATATATATATATATGACAATTATAATATTGAAGTCAATTATATCCTTTGTGCTAATCCATCAGAAAAATACTTATATTATAAAAAGGAATTTCATGTCTAGAATAAGTTTTTAAATCCTTGAGTTATAGTTTTAAAATAAGTTTAGAAACTGTTCAGAGAAATGCACGTCATTTAGACAAACACTTCCTGGGATTTTTCTAGAAGGATCCAACACCCTTATGAGTGAAACTGTTAATGGACTAAGCTTGGAAAAGAAGTACCTCTTGAATTCTGACCGCTAATTATTTTGGCTGTGTGTGTTTAGCAATGCAAGTGGAGGCCATGACTTCTATAAACAGATGCTACTGAGAGCCATCTGAAATATCTGAAGGGGGAATTTTAGTTACAAATGCATGCAGAAGGCTTTGAGTAACCCCACCTCTCCTTCCCACAGTGCAGGGGGAATTAAAAATTCGCCCTTTTGAGATGTATAGAAGCTGCACACTGGTCTGGGGCTCTAAATCCAAGCCAACAGGAGAGCAGCCCTTTCTGAAGGAAAATTCCCAGGGAGTGGGGTAAAGCTGAGAGGGAATCAGGAATGTCTGGGAGGAGCGGTGATACTCTGAAAGGTTTTCTTCTTCTACTGAAACCAATATCTCTTTGGTAATATAATCCAATATCTAATAACACAGTCCATAGGAATAGATGCACTTAAGGGCATCTGTGTGAATGGCTAGGTGCTTCCTGCAAAATGTGCAGATGAAGGGGAAAGACACCTATGCTGGAAGGCCATTGGTTTTCAGAACGGACACGTGACAGGAGCAGGACAGAGGGCTCACTTAAAAGATGTGAGAATTGGTTTGGGTAAACATGCTGCAACTTGGAAGAAGCTCTATGCTGTACAAGCTATATGCATTGCCTCCCCTATAAATCAGAAATATAAGGTTTCCTCTCAAGACAAATCATGGGGCTTTTGTTGAAAAGGTCAGATATGGGATTCTGGTTAGAAATACTTGCACCGTGAGCCCCAAAAGCCTAGAGTTTGATTTGGAGCTTGACCCCCAATTGTGATGAAAGTTTTCATGTTAGACAAACCAACAATTTCTTTTCCTTATACTGCTTTTTAAAGGGGTTTTAAGATGTGTGTGCTGTCAATGAGTATGCTTTCTATGGAACACACACAAAAGAAACAATGCCCAGCTCACAGTATGCAGGGAAGTGTCACAACAACTTATCAGAAAAGGGGTGTTGCTAGGCTAGGCTTCCTCCCAGTGCCCCATGGCTTCACAGGCAGTCCTGTGGCGATTATGCAGATGTTCCTTAACAAGGTACAGTAGAGTCACTGAAGGGGAAACCCAATTCTTATGCCTCAATGAAAGGGTGTGCAGAAAACAATAATTACCCTGAATAAGGAATCTTATGGGGAGGGGGAAGAGTGCAAAAAAACTCAGAGAATTTGGAAAGCTTTAAAAAAAAAATTCTTTCTTTCTTTCTCTTTCTTTCTTTCTTTCTTTCTTTCTTTCTTTCTTTCTTTTTCTTTCTTTCTGTCTTTCTTCCTTCCTTCCTTTCTTCCTTTCTTTCTTTCTTTTTAAAGCAAGTGATACGATGGCAGAAACCCACACATTCTCCCCCAACCCCACCTGCCACTTTGAGTCCTAATCGCCCAGACTGCAAGGACAGAAACCCACTCTAAATGGACCAGCATCGGGCTTCGGCAAGTCTTCTCTTCACTCTCCCTCCTGTTAAGACCGTTTCCAAAACCAATCAGCAAAGGACAAAGAATTCTTTACAGAGTGCAATTAGTGTTTTCCACGTCCACCTTCAAAAGCATGATGCTCTTCATGGGCTAAAGGACAGAAAAAAACAAAAAAGAAAAGAAGGAAAGAAAACTTTAAGCAAAGGCTGGGCCAACCCTCCGCTAGGCACCTCATTCAGCTTCCCCAGATGTTGGCAAAAACTCAATACCTTTTTTTTTCCTTTTTTTTTTTTTTCCAGTAACTGTTAGCTAAGGCGTGCATTTCCTGAGAAACGTAATAATGAAAATTAAAACAAGGAATAAACAAGCTATGGGCTTGCTGCCTGTTTCTTCTTGCTGTGCCTGGGGGCATGACTCATCCACCCAAGCTGATGAGGAGAGTATGCTGGGCTCAAGGCAAACGCTTTAAGGGGCTAAAAGGAGCCCCCCCAAAATGCATGGGAAGGGGGGAACCCATGACTCAAGACAGAGCCATGCAGAAGCCTACCTACAAGAATAAAATAACACAAAACAAAACAGAACCACACAAGAGGCGGGTAGGAATTATATATTACGCCCCCTGCTTCTCATCACCTTCCATAAAATCAATGGATCTATTATTTTTCCCAACCTTCAGCCTGCACCTCAGGGATTTTCATGGTTTGTCTTGTGGAATTACTAATTAGGAAACTGACTATAAAAAAGTATGTTTTTCAAAGACTTAGACTTTTTAAACTGGGAGATGAGAGATGGGAGGCCCCTGAGACACCCTGTAACACAAAGGGCCAAGTTTGACTGAGGGGGTGTCTCCCTGCCATTATGAGGCAAGGTGTGACACAGCCAGGGGTGTTCAGTCCAAGTGCTTCCACGCACTGCTCCAGGCAATAAAGGGAGACACAGCTGAGTGCTCCACCACCTCCATGAGTGCTCCACCTCCATAGCTCCTCCTTTTCTTGTTTTTAATACAGACTACCTAGAGGAAGCACAGCTGGGCTAGCTGTCCTTCAAGATCAGCTCAGGTAGCTACTACAAGCAGCCATTCATCTGGATAAACCACTGGGAAGGACACACCTTGTAACTCCCAGGACGACCAGGATTGGTGACCTAACCTCTGCCCAAGAATAACTGCCCATCTCTTACAACTCAAGTTTCTAACTGAGTATTTAACTTTTAAAACATTTTCGTTATTTGGGTATGTTCTGCATGCACAGGCATACTTGCATGTGAAAGGGATAGTGTGGGATTGGATGGATGGAGGGAGGGAGAGAGGAAGGGAAGGAGGGAGGAAGGGAGGGAAGGAAAGAGGGAGAAAAGGAGTGAGGGAGGGAGGGAGGGAGGGAGGGGAAGAGGGAGGGAGAGAAGGTGAGGGGAGAGAGAGGGCAAAGAATAATCTTGCCTGATATTCCTCAGATGCTATCCATTCTTATGTTTGCAGACAAGACCTCTCACTGGCCTGGAACTTGCTAAAGGCTAGCCTGGCCAGCAAGCCCTAGAGATCCGCCTGTCTCCACCCTCCCAGTGCTGGGGTTCTATGTAGATACCACCAAACTCAGCTTCTGTGTGTGTATGTGTGTCTGCATATGTATGTGTGTGTGTATGGTGTATGTGTATATGTATATGTGGTGTGCATGCTTCGTGTATATGTATCTGCATATACATATATGTATGTATGCGGCATGCATATGCATGTCTAATATGTGTGTGAATGCGGATATGATGTGTATGTAGTGTATGTATAGATCTGTGTGTGTGGTGCATGTGTGTATGTGGTATATGGTGTGTGTGTGTTGTATCTTTACATATGTGGATGTGGTGTGTAGATGTAGGTGCTGTACGTGTATCTGATTGTGATGACTGGAGGCTATGGAAGGACGCTGGCTGTCCTGCTTTGTCACTCTCTGACATATTCCTTTAGACAGGCTTCCTCACTGAACCTGGGGGAGGATTAAGGCCAGAGAGCACCAGTGAGCCTCCTGCCTCTGTCCACACAGTGCCACACAGGTTAGTGTGTGTGGCGGTGCCCAGCTTTTCCCATGCTGGGATGTGAACTCAGGTCCTCAGGCTTCTGTAGCAAGTACTGTTTCTGAGCCATCTCTCTAGCCTCAGTGATCTTCTTTAAGCACTGACTTTTAAGTTACATGTACTTGTGTGGGGGTGTGCACATGAATGCAGGTGTCTGTAGAGGCCAGAATTAGGTGTCAGAGGCCTGGACCTTAAGTTCAAACAGTTGTAAACTACCTGTCCTAGGTGCTGGGAACTAAACTCAGGTCCTTTGCAAGAGCAGTACACAATCCTAACTGCTGAGCCCTCTCCTCTGGCCCTGCCCCTTACTATTTTTAAGTGTGATTTCTGGGGATTGAACTTGATCCCCTTACAGAGCTTACTCCTCAACGCTAATTCCTGTCTTTAAGAAAGATGTTTTAGGGAAGACACTAAATAAAACATAGACTGGTGTTCAGTGAGATATACTGTGTCTCAGGGCCAATGTAAGGAGCCACAGGATGACAGCAATGCTGATTTGCAAATTAGGACTCCAAAGACAGTGACAATGTAAAGCTTTTCCTATCTCGAGGTGCACAGGGTCAGGACAGCCATAGCTGAAATCCTGAAGTGTCAGTGGTCAGAACTTGACAGCAGATACACTGCAGCACTGGGGGCTGTTTGTCATCCCTGGGGCAACAATTAGAGGACTGTTCTCAGATCCAAGAGCCAGCAGACCTTTTAGTAGTAATCCATGCAATTCCTGATTGCTGAAGAAGCTATGGAAAATATGAACTCAAATAAGCACTTCCTTATGCTATCCAGCTGCTGATGGGTACTCAGACTTAACACCGATACGATTTTCACGAGTCACAAAAACAGTTTTGCTTTTTCCCAATTCTATGAAACTGTTGAGCCTGCTCTCTGCTGCACCCACATGGCAGGACTGAGACAGGAGGGAGCCGAGAGGCTGGCTCAGCTTCAGGTCTGGGCTATTCCACCCCTGCCCTCCATAACGCTCATACCACATAAAGGCCTTTGGCCTTCTGCTCTCCAAGGAAGTTAATTTTAACTAGGGAGGGTGCGTGTGTAAATGGTGATTTTTCTCACTCAAATCATCTATCTGGATAGACAAGAAATCATAGGAATGCCAATGCCCAGCTCCCTGTCTGCCCGCTGGAGGTCAGGACCAGATGGTCTGGGATTCATTTCGGTCATCTAGCCAGATAGCTTCTGCAGACTCCAGAAAGCCAGGATCCCGCTAACAAGACAGAGGTGGTATAAACTGGCCACTTCCAGCCTAACTCACCAGGGACTGTCCCTCACCCTGTGAACCAGTTTCTGTCCAGGGCTCATTTTTCTAGATCACTTCTATAACACATGCCAGCAACTGTGCCAAGTGAAGGACAGCCTGCTTCATGTCAGATAATACAGGGAATTCCAAGTTTTTATGTGCACAGTCTGAGGTTGTAAATGTTAATGTGTGTCATTAAAAAGTAGTTTTCTGCTTAGACCTGCAGCTACTTCCTTCTGACTCACATACCTGACAGTGTTAACTACCTGCAGGGTGTCTGTTCAGCTTTGATTCAGCTGACCTGGGTGCAATTTTCTTTCTCCTTGCTTAGTGTCCCCCTAACCCTGATGTCTCTTTCCAGCCACTCCAACAGCTAAGCCGTGAACTGCCTGCCCTTGGTCGTTCTTGGGTGACTATACCTTGGCTTTAAAGTTGGGCCCTAATTATCTAGGAAGATATCCACTTTACAATGAGCTGCTGACCAGTTTGCTGCCTATCAATTTGTTCACAGAATTGTAAAGCAGAAGGAACCTTGGAGATCATCAGAGACCAACCATCTGGATACCCAGGTGAGAAAGTGAAAGCAGGGCATTTGTGACTGCTTGGGGTTATACTGTACAAGTACAGTAAAAAGCCAACGACTCCCAACTGTTCTTTCCTCCTCTCAGTCAAGTGTTGGGCAGACTCAAGTATGGGCCTGCTTGAATTTGATGCTAGCTCATGCTTCCTTTTGCAGTTTCTGCTGGTTATTCTTATGGACTGGAAACAAGAAAACACATTGGTATCTGGGGTGATCTAGAGCTGACCTGTCCCTAAGGAACAGGAATGACACTCATGTGCCTGTCCTGTCTCCACCCTGCACAGCCAAGAGCAATGCTCCAGGATGCATTTTCTGCCTCTTTCATTTTAGACTTTCTATCATAGTTCAGAGGATCAGCACCCCCTAAGTGCACAGAGTGAGGGATCCGTCTCCCTGTGTGGATCCTGATTCTTTTCTGTTGCCTACAGAACTCTTCCCAGGAATACCTGGGTGTTCATGGATGCTATAACACTAGGGCAATCACAAAATTTGAATTTTTAAACTCTTGACAAAGAACAGACTAATGAGACAATGATGACGTATATTTCAGAGATTCTAAGATGCCTCTGCTCCGTCCCCTGCAAATCTCCAAAACTCAAGAATCAACAATTCATCCTGGTTTAACTGAAGACCATTTCTTGGTTTTTTTCTTTCATTAAATAATAAAATAATACCGTATATTATGTTCAAAAGCACCTTAGAGTCAATGAAATATAACAGTAAAAAAAAAACATGGGTTAGTGATTCCTAGAACAGTTTGGGACATAGAAAATCCATCACAGATGTCTGTGGGGCTGTCAATCATTTCCTGTAACTCACTGTATCAAACACTGGTTCCAACACACTAAGATGTTCTTGTTATGAAAAGGATGAGTGTCTGTGAGGAGCACACAAAGGGAACGAACACACATCACAATGGAAACAATGGGTCCACACACTGTTTACACCAAGAGTTGTGTGCACCACTGCATGGGAAGTCTTGGTGACTCTGCCACAGTCACCACGATGAGGAACTGTCAATCATACCTGAGCTCCCCCATAAATACAGATGGTGGACATGATAAATCCCTGTGTGGGACGGATGCTTGACCATCTGCCTGCCAGCTCCCTGAGTGACTTTCCTCATTTGCCCTTGTTATTACTCCCAATAGATTAGCACTTCTTCTGACAAATTTAAGTTCAGGTTCAACTATTTGAAATAATGAATACGGTGTATAGTTGCTTTTCCAATTCATGCACTTAGGGAAGAACAAAAAAAAAATCTCATTTTAATTTCTGAAACTAAACTTGATTTAAAAAGAAACACTCAGAGAGCGTTGTGTTGAACTGTCCACTGCGTGAATAGAGTTTTGAGTGGTCCTGCCTTCGTCTCGTTTGTGATGTGCTTCTATCTCTACAAGTCTGGCAGGAGGGTCTCGAAAACAGCGGTCGGAAATGGAGCACTTACGTTTATAAAACACTGCTTTAAAAGATATGTGGGGCAGGAGCTGGTGGATCTTCTCTAGCACAGTAGCTTCGCCCACTAGTGAGGCGTTGACATTCCAGACCTGGACGACATCCTCGCGGTCCCGAACACTCACGCTGACTCCTATAATCTCGTCATCTGAGGGGAAGAGGGGGAAAGACAAGAAGTAGGTAAATGATGACAAGCTGGCCTGATCACATCTATGCTCCCACCACTCTAGCTGTGAGTTACAGACAGGAAGGGGACCTGTCGTGAGTGACTGCTTCCGTGGGGGACCTGTCGTGAGTGACTTCTTTCCGTGGGGGCTGATAAGGAAAGTCAGTTCAGCACAGCAAGAGCTGCTGTGTACTTAGCCGGGGATTCAGTAAACAGAGTTTTCAAGCCAAGTGAGTCTCCCAGATAAGGAATTTTACTCTTTTAAACATGTTACCCAAAGCTTTCTGTCACTTTCTGACTCTGTTTGGATGAGACTTTTTCTAAAATAGGTTGCATAATTCCCTGCCCTCTGAGAGCCAAGTGAACTCAGATGAACTGTTTGCTTGAAGCCTGGCCCTCTCTGTTAAGAGCAGTAAGACTTTCTGTGGCGTCCTGCTAAGCTGATGAATGCTTTGGGCCTGTTAGAACGATCTGCTCCAAACCTCTTTGGACCCAGACTCTGTGTCCAGTAGCTCCTCTGTTCTGTGTGCATTGTCTGCTCCTTTCCTAGTTGCTCTGCCCTCTGGTGCTTCCTTCTAGCAATTCCCCTTCTGACTGTGTTGAATCAGGGGTTAAAGAGCTGACAGCTACCTGTTAGCATTACAGGTACACTAAGTATCTTCTGAGTGACCCTACCATTCCCACCCAGCCTATGATCATTAGGCATCATGGAGGCTTTAGCCAACATAGGGTTAGAATGGATGCCCTTGAGCATGGCAGCTGGATGATGAACCTACTGTACCTTTATGGTCCTGTGCAGCTGCTCTGTCCACACTAATTGGCTGCAAACGGATAGAAATTGGGCTTTTGACTCCAAGTTTTGCATGTTCATGACACATTCATGAAACAGAGACAGCTCTCTGTATCTGCATACTCTGTGCCAATAAGTAGCAAGCAAGAGAGAGGCACTACCACAGTTAGGGAATTTTATGTTAGCTGATACGTGTTGTCTAATTTGCCATCGACCAGAGGTTGAGATGTTCATGCCACTGGTTTTTCTACTTGATTCCTGGACATTTGGATGTGTTGCTATTTAATATGATTTACATAGTGGCATACCCAGTCTACTGAGAGAAACCATTTTCTGTAAAATAATTCTCCTTTCTCCTCCATTTACCCCTTCCCTGCCTTCCTCTCTGCCTGTTTCCTTTATGAATTAACTTGATCAAGGCTATGGTGCATATTCTGACATCTTGTGAACATGTATGTAAGTGCTCGAAACCAGACAGGATTAGACTATGGTGTTCAAAGTTGGATTGAACCAACTCAGATGGCACCTTATGAAGAAAAGAAAGAGGAGGGAAGTTAGAAGGGCAAAGAGCATCAATGCCCTGCTTCTAAACATATAGACTGTTGAAAAGGATGTGATGACTTTGTTACTTGTTGCCAGGCTTCACAGCTATAATGTAGGTACATTTCTATGCCTGCAACACATTTAAACACAAGTTAAAAAAAAAGCAAGACTGTATTTGCTCATGGCATCTCTCATCTCACCAAGATGAGATAAGATGATAAATTTCATGTAAAAATGCAATTATTACATTAAAGAAAGAGGTGACCCAGTGTTCCACTCTTAAGAAGGGCCAGGACACCACTGACCCAGTTTTGGGGGAGATGTGAGTGTTCCCCAGTCCTTTGGGATGATTCTTTCACACACTACTGGGAATGGGTAAGGTCAGTAACAGATGCCAAACAGCACAAATGGTCACTGTTTCACTTTGGCCTGGCTTTTGGCAGGCAGGAGTAGCTGAGTTCAGACCTTTTGCACAGCATTATAAAAGGCCCACAGATCTTATGAGAAGGCAGGCCCATGGTGAAATGCATAATGTTCACATGGAGAATTGGCCAGCCACATGCAGGCTGTGGCAGAGCCCTGGCAGCAGAAGACAGTGGGGCCAGGTGGAGCCATTGCTTGAAAATGTTCTGTAAGTGAGGCTGAGAAAGATTAGCTGGTTGCCTCAAGTCTCAGAGCTGGTTAATGGACGGGCTGAAGGTTAATAGTTAGTAGTGTCCTTCTTTCTAGTCAGCCACAAAAGAATTGACCTTCTCTGCTCATTAGTGGGTATTTACTATTACTCATGACTATTCCAGGACTTCTGTGTTTAGAGCTACACACAGAGTATACTTCGGGTTGGGCGATATAAAGTTATTAGCTTTTCTCCATTAGAACAGAAGAGATTTGCACTTGTAAGCCCATTTTATCTCAATACATACTCTGAAGTGAGTAAAAGCGGTGTGAAAGGCAGTTGAGCATCCCCACAAACCTCCAGGCAGGTCAATGTGAGACTGGTCATGGGTCTGTCAGGGTGAAAAGAGCTCTCAGAGACAGCCTAAGTCTGAGTGCCAGCGGTTATAAGCCAATCCACAAAATACAATACCAAACTGGGAAATGAAAGTGGATAAAACTCTGAACCAAAAGCAGCAGAGAACAAAACAAAACAACAAAAACACACAAAATTTTAAGTGTATCCTCAGAAGTTTTAGAGAGCCCCAAGAAGAAAAGAGACCCCAACACAAGCAATAAGCCCTCTCTGAATGGTTCCGTGATAAACAAAAAGGGCTCACAGAGGGGAAGACATGTGGGTGTGGTGGAGCTCATGGCTAGAGCATAAGGTCCATGGTTCCAGCCTTAATACACACATATCTCAGAGGGGCTTTCTGAAGACTACTTAGCATGTCAAAGCCTTCTGCAGATGTAAGAACAGTGAGACACTGTTGTCCCCAGAGTCTGTCTCTCTGTGTGCAGAGCCAGCAGAACAAGTGGAAGAGAATTAACTGGGAAGAATGAAGAGACTGTGCCTATTTACCCAGATCCACTAGGCATGGCGGGCACTGTCCCCCTCCCAAAGATGAGGCAGCTACAGAAAACCTACCACAAATCATGCTAGCTCGATGATAAAGATTTACCTTTTCTTTCTGCCTGTTTATATTAGATGAATAGCTGCAACTGTTGAGAGGGAATAATGTAGGCACATGTACATACATACATACATACATACATACATAATATACATACATACATACATACACACACATTTATGTATGTTTTTATGGATGTAATATATAGCCACCCCTTGGTATTTATGTAAGATAAATTCTAGATCCCTTCCATACCATGACAATTTAAGACCTTTATATAAAATGTCATTTGCACATAATACTTATTTAGGTATCTATTTTGGAGCAGTTTGTTTTTGTACACCAGGTGAGCACTCTACCACAGAGCTATATTACCAAGCCAAGCTTATTTTTGAATCATCTCTTTTCTACTTAGATTTAATGCAAATGCCATGCAAGTTGTTTGCATTGCTTCTTGAATAATAAGGAGTGTGTGTGTATGTGTTTATTTCAGATCCTGTTCGTGCTGTGTTTTGATCTGTGAATCCATGGATGCAAGATCTTAAGAAAGGAAGGGCTGACTGTACACATATAAATATGCACATGTGCTTATATACACAAATCTCACACCACAGAAACAAGTCTAAATTACATCACAGTTACAAAATCAATACCTTGCAGGCAAGCAGAAGGACCAGACATAGAATCAAAGGTCTGTGAATAACAGACATGAACCGAGCATCCCAGGGCACGGACAAATGGGCTGCGGCCTCCCTACCTGCTGCGGCACAGTCTGTGAATTGCTCCCCAATGGTCGCCAACAACAATTCTTTCCAAACTGTAGACTAAATGTATTAGAGAATAAAAAGAAAAACAAGGCAACGTTTAGGCAATTATCATCAGGTGCTAAGGAGACACAAGCTCCCCACCCCCAGTTGGAGCCTCTAAGTCATCAAAGTGTATATGTGCAATCAAACAAGTATAAGACCAGCTTGCAAATGACTCTGCACACACAGATTCAAGGGATCCAGGGCCTTCACTGCTAGTGAAGCTCCTGTGAACTCCAGAAGAACTGGAGGGGGTGGGGGAAGCCTTCAACTCACTTCATTTCCCATGGCTTTTAACTCTCAAAGTGTTCAAACCCATTACATTTGAGTGCCATTAGTAAAATTCTTCTCTTTGTTTTTCTCCTGCAGTTGATATGGTACTTAAAATGTTACCACTTAAGATGTTACTACAGTCAAGAATGTTAAGAAACATTGTTATTTACTGAATGCCAGAGACTTGCAAAATTCCATTCACTGCTGACAGGTTATTTACACTGAATGATAAATTTATGTTCTATTGTACATGCACAATTTCCCTGGAAGTGCATCCATTCTACTCTGCCTCCTGCCAATGAGAAACACCAGAGCTCCTTCGATGAACATGTATTAACGCTGTCAAGTAAACAGAACCCACTCTCAGGACACTGAAGGCTCAATGGCTCTCCTGGTTGTTCCCATGGAAAAGGTCTAGGCTCCCCCTTGCCATGGTTCCTAGGCTTTGAAGCCTCTCAGAGCTCAGTCTGAATCCTGAGAAGTTGCTCACTTTACTCTCTGTGACCTGAGCAGGCCATGAGCTGCCCCAGCTTCCATCTGGGAGGGAGAACAACAGAACTGACCTCAGGGGGATGTTGCAAGCATAGTATTTGTCAGAGACTGCTTCACACAGTGACTGCAACAAGAGGGCTCAAGAGTTAAGACTGAGCCATAAATAGCCACATGCATCCATATGCCAGGCGCTCAGTACACATTAACTGTAACAATGCTTATTATTACATTCTAATGAGCTTGCGGCAGCTGCTTCTCTTTTGACCTAGGTGACAGCGTTTAACTAGGGAGCTGACGGTGAACCTGGACTCCTAGAAAGGCTCAAGTCTCCTTTCCTAGACCTTTCCTTCTCCCATCTGTCCAGCGTTGATCTTGAGCTCCCTAAGTGACGAAGCTGGGGTGGGAGAAGAGAGCATGGAGAGGGTGCCTTCGGGCTACTGTTGTGCATATAGGCAGCTCTAGCCTCCCAGAATTCTAATGGGGGGGAGGCTGAGACATAAGAGCCCGGCACCTGTCCCGACAAAAAGTGTATCAGTGCCTGAATGTGGCCCTGTGAGCTGGCAGGGTGGGCCGGAACAAACTGCCTTCAACAGTTTTCTATGGGTGCGAGTACCATGGCGGCTTCCACTGAGTTCCAAGTCTAGGGTGAGTAAATAAGGCAAATAAATATACAAGGCTTCGGGGTTGCTCCCCATCACCTCAAAATAAATCAGCAAATACGTGAGGTAACGCACATGAGGGAGCACTGGGTGAGGTTTAAGAAAATCTAGGAGTCTCTTGCACTTCCCTGTTTTCTGCTTGCCCTTTCTTAGGAGGGCACAGGGTGTCATACGCCTTGCCTGGCTCCCATGCAGCTCTAGTGTTTTCCATGTTTGTAATGTTAACAATCGGATCTGCAGCCTTGACCAATGAATCTGGTTGTAACTTGAAATGTGTGCTCACAGAGAGACGACTCCCACCCATGTGTGTGGTGTCCCAGAAGTATTTTAATTCTTTGAGTATAATTGCATGAGAGGAATCAGAAAAAAAAGTCCCTTCTGTCCATTTCATTTCTAATGATTTGTATTACTTATATATTGATTGGGGTGTGCATACATGTTAGTGTGTGTGTGTGTGTATGTGTGTGTATGTGTGTGTGTGTGTGTGTGTGTATGTGTGTGTGTGTGTGTGTGAAGGGGCACATGTGTGTGTGTGTGTGTGTGTGTGTGTGTGTGTGTGTGCAGGGGCATGTGGTAGCCTGGGGTTGATCTCTGGTGTCTTCCTCAGCCACTTTTCCATCTTATCTTTTTGAGAGTGAAGATCTTTCACTGAACTGAAGCTCACTGTTTACCCAGACCAACCAGCTGGCTGGCAAGCCCCAAAGGTGATCCTGTTGCTGGGTAACACTGGGTAACAGGTATTCACAGACACATGAAGCTTTTCCACACAGATCCTGTAGATTGGAACTCAAGCCCTTATGCTTCTGTGGCAAGCACTTTAGCAAACGAGCCATCTCCCCAGCCCCTATTTTCGTTATTTTACACAGGGTCTCACTGAATGGCACATTAAGACTTGAACTCAAGATTTTCTTGGCTCTGTTTATACCTCCTGGGATCAGAGGGATGCAATTCCATGCTTAGATCATTTTGTCTGTTTTCAAAAGAGTTTTTTTGTCTTTTCCCAGGGCTTAATGGATGTTCATTTTTAAGGCTTATGCTTTACTCCCGAGAAATCTAGACTGCTGAGGCTTGCCCAGCTCCATGAACCCCAATGAATGGGGAACCCCTAAGTGTCTCCATTTTCCATTTCATAGTCTCCACAGTCTCTGGCCAGGAGAGCAGAGCCTTTGGTGGGAAGGATCCTGCTGGCCTGTGGCCGATCAGTGTGCCTGTGTTAGGCATACCTGGTGAGGGAACAGCAGCCATGGAGCTCCCAGAAGGCTCTGCTCTAACGTTTATAGGCTCTAGACCTTGATGGCTATATGACACAGCGATGTCACTGCAGGATTTCTGTAGATGCACAATTATACTCTTTCTTTCTTTCTTTCTTTCTTTCTTTCTTTCTTTCTCTCTTTCTTTCTCTCTTTCTCTTTCTCTCTCTTTCTCTCTCTTTCTCTCTCTTTCTCTCTCTTTCTCTCTTTCTCTCTTTCTCCCTTTCTTCCTTCTTTCCTTTCTTCCTTCCCTCCTTCCTTCCTTTCTTTTTTCTTTTTTTTTTTTGTTTTTTTGGTTTTTTTTTTTTGTTTTTTCGAGACAGGTTTCTCTGTGTGTAGCCCTGGCTGTCCTGGAACTCACTCTGTAGACCAGGCTGGCCTTGAACTCAGAAATCTGCCTGTCTCTCCCTCCCAAGGATCAAAGGTGTGCGCCACCACTGCCCAGCTCTTTTTTCTTTCTTTCTCCATTTTCACATTCTTGAGACAAGGCTTCTCTGTGTGGCCTTAGCTGTCCTGAAACTCACTTTGAAGACCAGGCTGAATTTGAACTCAGAATTCTATCTGCCTCTGTCCCCTCCCCCGCCCCCGAGTGCTGGGAATAAAGATGTGAGCCACAACACCTGTCTTTTTCAATGATACATGTTCAAGGTGATAGGATTCAGTGATCATCACCAACGGCAGAAGTGAACTTCTCGACCTGGGGCTGCCAGGAGACTTCTGGATAGGCTCACTGAAAGGCACAACACTCTCAAGCCCATGCCCAGGTGGTTCTGGGAAATTACCAGCAGAGACCTACCGTGCTGTCCTTGGGAACTTTCATCTTCCACACACCACCCTTTGCATTACTCTCCTCCTCCCTACAGCAAAGAACAACATTTAAAGTCGAGCTCCACGATGAAGGAGTATTTCTATTTCCATTTAACAATAAACGATGTGGGGAAAAAAAAGCACACAAGTGTTTCTGAGTAAACGTTCCCCAGTTCTGTGATCAGGAGCAGAGGCAGAAGAATGAAAAAGGAAGGGAATGGAGATGAGAGAGGAAGCAACATGGAACTAGCAGTGATGGGGATGAAGGTGGGTGGAGGGATATGAGGTCCTCATTTTCAAGGAGGTGGTACCCAAGGGCTCCCTGACTCTCTGGGGATGGACAAGTGATGCAACCACTATGCAGGTCTGAAGAACTATACATTCCAAAGCATATCCATGATACTGCCTCATTTAATTTACATCAAACCTGGGGTCACAGACTTAACAGGTGCTCATGTGGGGGACCAGGGTTTAATAGCCTCTTCCTGTCTAGCAAAAGCATGCCAAGTTCTATGTAAGAGGGCTGATTCTGTATCCTAGCTTTAAAGACATGCTACGTTTAAAGATCCTAGGTTTGCTTATGAGATTGTTTCTTCCTCATTTTCATGGTTGACCAGGGATGGAGAACTGACTCATAGTGAGCCAGTGGTGGCTTACAGAATGCCGACAACTGATAAGCTTGAAGGGTGTAAATTAATACTGGTGATATAGGTCTGTCATCCCAGCTGTTTAGGAGGCTGAAGCAGAGCAATGACTAGTTCAAGGCTTATCATGGCTACAAAGTGAGTTCAAGGCCAGCTTGGGTAACTTTGTCAGACCTTATCTCAAAAAACAGGATGGGGGTTAGGGGGAGACAAGAATGTGGATGTAGCTCAATGGTACGGTGCTTACTTAGCATGTGGTATAAGGCTTTAGGTTCAGTCCCGAGAGAGAGATCTGTCTTCCCATAAATGGGAAAGTCTAACTTAAACTTCAGCCAACAACGAGAAAGCCAAGGAAGTATGAAGGAGAGTGCCAGAGTCTGGATGAAACCTGGAAAACCGGATGTGGGGACACCAGCCGTACCCGTGGACTTCTCAGCTACAGGTTCCCACTAAACACTACTTGGTGTTTGTTTAATTTAGGATTCTACCATTCACCGAGAAATGAGCTGAGACAGAATCTCATTCTCCTTTCAAGTAAATATCTGTGAAGGGTTAAATGATGTGAGGATTTATGGGTATTAGAGGCTCAGGCTGGGCAAGCTAACTGTCCAGAGCCCTCATACCACATCAGGTAACTATGGTAGCTACGGGAGGCTCTCCTGAGGCTTGGGCCCTTGGTGAGTAGGGCATGCTTGCTGCTAGAGGCACACCATAGGCAAAATGGGTCCTCATGAGGTTCCCAGACATTTTCGTTGCTGTCCCAGCTTGATCTTTGGGTGAGCCATACACACTTACCAAAGTGGTCGCCTCTCTCCTCTCATTAAGTGATAACTGCATCTCAAAGGCAGGCTGGTCACAGGAGGGATGTTATTGTACACGCTCCAGAATATCTTAAAAAACAAAACAAAACAAAATACTTTGTTTAATAAACCCAGTATTGATTAGCTATGCCAGGACACTATAAAATTAATGTGTTAGAGAAAAAAATTGATTCTCATTAATTCCTAGCTACTTGGAGTAGATTTTTCTCATTAGCTCTTTAAAATTCTTAATGCAGAGCATTAAAACATTGTCCCTTCTAGACATTAGGCTAGGGTGTATGTTTTAGAAAGCTGTTGTCATGAAGGGAGTATCCCTAAGCAACGTGTATACATAAAACCAGAAAGGTAATAACGCACAACGCCAGGGCTGGGGTTGGTTGGTTTAGATTTACCTAAGTTTATGTGTTATGACTCTCTTGCTTGCATGCATGTATGTGCACCATGTGTATGCCTGGTGCCTTCAGAGGTCAGAAGGAGGTGTCAGATCCCCCTAGAACTGAAGTTATGAATGGTTGTGAGCCATCACTCAGTTGCTGTGGACCAAACTTGGGTCCTCTTCAGGAGCAACAAATACTCTTAACAACTGAGCCAGCTCTCTAGTCCCAAGGACTGACATTAATCAAAAATTGTTTTTCATTGGAAGTTTTTGTTAACTATGTAGATTTCAGTTGCCCCTGTCACATGAGAATATGAGATGGGTTTGTTAATCTAAAACTCGAATATATATGGAGCCTAGGTCTTTTGTTTTGGAAGACTTGATCAGAAAGACTACAGAAAAAGCATGCTCTGTATTCTACATTTCAATATAATTTCATCTAAAGTCCTTTGTCACCAGGTTGGAGAGATGGCTCAGTGGTTCTAAACACTTGCTATTCTTACACAGGACCTGGGTTTTCTTCCCAGTGTTCACATCAGGTGTTTTCAGCCACCTGTGACTCCAGTTCCAGGGGTTCTGACATCATCTTCCGATTTCTGTGGACATGTGAACACACATGGTACACACCCGGGCAGGGAGGAGCACACATATTAACACAAAAATTAAAGATCCTCATCAGTTCTAATTTCATCATGAACGGAGACTGGACATAAATAAGTTGACCCTGTAAAACTCAGCTTCTTGAAACTGTAGGTCATGATCTCATGTGGGCTGCAAAGAACCTGGCAGGAGGAAAGGGCTTCTAACAGGCAGCAACAAAATAATGCAAAATAAAATGCTAAATGCACAGTGAATTAGGAATGTCTCGTGGAGCACTTGCCTGTGTTGCTCATGTGACTTCGCTACAGTCTTCTTTCTGAACACACAACATGTGCACTTTGCATGTGCTTTCTGTCACAGACTGTAACACTAATGAGCATGCCTAGACACCTCCCCTCAGATTTGGGAAGAATGAAGGCTATCACGGAAGTCCTTATACGTATGAAATCTTCTGCACTGATAGATGCATAATGTTTAATTTTGGAATCCAAAGACTTTTATACTTTCCTACCATAATTCCTCAGCATGCAAGTATCAAGTTAGTACGTATTTGGATTGTATTGTATTAGAATGTTTGGTTTGAGGGCTAGTGAGATAGCTCAGTAGTTAAGAGCACTGGCTCTTTTTACAAAGGATCTAGGTTCAATTCCCAGCACCCACATGGCAGTTCACAACCATCCATAACTCTAGTTCCAGGGGATTTGATACTCTCCTCTGACCTCTGTGGGCACCAGGCATACATATGATATACATAAAGACAAGACATGCATACATGGAAATACAAAAAAAATTTAACATGTCTAAGTTTTGAAAATTGACGTTTGAGTTACTTGCTTGTGTTTCACTTAAAAAAATCATTAAATAATTTTTGGCTTGGGATTAGGATAGAATTTCAAATTTCTTTTGAAATAGCTGTACAAACACTTTTGCCATTATATAACATAGTATTCTCAGAATTATTATAAAATCAAATGTCTATCGAGTCTGAAACATTATTGAATGTACTCTATGTCCTGCAATAGCAAATCTTCAGCTAAGATGTATTCTTTTAGATAAAATTACACCCATCCCATTAGTATGGATATTTGCTTTTGTCTTTAGTCAATGACAAAAGTACACATATGTACTAAATAATTGCTTTAAAACAAATATTCTTATGATACACTATCCATAATTTTTAAAATGTGTATTATGTAGCTTATATTCCTATATACTCTATGTTTATATATATACAGATTTACATACTAATCCATGCATATATGCATATACACATACACACACACACACACACACACATATATGTATATAAAATTTGTTAGATGCAAAGGTTCAGGAGTGAAGACAGCTCCAGAGGCCCTGTTCTAAAACATACACATATTCTCAAGGGAAAGAGTCTTGTAACAGATGTTCTGACAGTTATGGTACTTAGTGGAGCCTTCAGTGTGATCACTAAACTGCATTTCCTTGTAATGGGCTCTGCCAGGAAGAGGTCTGCGGTGCTTTGCTTGGGGCTCAGGGTGGAGAAGGAAGTCAGAGGAATCACATTAGATGATTCTGTCCCTCTCTCTTGTTCTTCCTACAAGTATCAGAGAACAGCTCAGCAGCCAGGCCATAAGGTACCACGAAGCAATATACAGGGACTTCAGGTCTGTGTCTTTGTCGAGGCAGCCCTCTGACTTTATACACACAAACGCATGAGCACATACACACATACAAACACAAGCATCCAGAAACACACACACGCACACACACGCACAGAAACACAAGGATCCAGAAACATATGCACACACATACACACAAGCATACACAAATACACCCAGCTGAATTAACTGCAGAGATAGTAATAACGCACTGAATGACAATCAAAAGCCATATAGATAAAGTATGTGTGGTAGACTTATCAGTGGGGAATCTACCTCAGCACTTCAGGAGCCTTCTACTTAAATGGTAATTTTGGCAATCACAAAATTAGCATGGTGCAACAGTAGATCCTCTAAGAGACCTGTGTCCCTGTGGAGGGCTGATGCTCTCTGTGTCAGTGCAAAAAGATTTCTATGACACCCTGGCTTCTGTCTATGCTGCTGCTGTGAGTAGGCAGAGCTGGAACTTGATCCCCAAAGCCCCTGTTTTTTTTAAACTACTAACCTATTTTCTTTGATGATACTACTATGTGTTGTTTTGCACATCTTTCTCTAGTCTTAGGAGTCACAGACAAGTCATATGTAGAGTCACAGAAGGAGGGATACCTGTTGACAACCAGTCAGATGCCCTTTTCTCCACTTACTTTGGTGATTCACATAACTCCAGCCCAAGACTCTTGCTGTGACATGGTAGTGATCTCTGCAGAATCCATGGACAAAATGATGCAAAATCAAAAACCCCCTTCTCAGAGAAGGCCGGGAGGATGCTGCTGACAGCAAACCTGGGCTCTGAAGGTCAGCCCTTCCGAAGCTCCTCCCACGGTATCCCAGCCAGGCTCCTCTAGTCCTGACCTTTCGCCTAGCATTTGAAGTACTTAGAGAACAATACACAGCACACGTTTCTTTTATCTCAGAAATGAGAAGAGGCCAAAGGGCCCTGTTATGGGTAGTAGCCTTGGAAGAATAAAAGCAAGGACATCCCTGAGCTTGTTTACTTTGGTGAGTCTGACAGGAAGAAGAGAGACCATCACAATTCAATGGTGGACTGAACTTGGAAGATGTTTATCATTGCACGTGCTTGTGCTTGAACACAGAATGAGAGAAGTTGCAAGAATGCTAGTGGGAAGAGACCCACTTAGAGAGCACACGGCACTGAACAGCTGTCTCCCTGTTGTTGCAAACTTCCCTCTTCTGTCCTCTATTTATCTGTAAGTCTGGTGGAGAAGGAACCTGAAGGAGGAGCTAGCATTGCGTGCTCCTGGAACCCAGTTCTTCCCTGCGGGAGGCAAAGGACTGACGCAGTGTAAGCTTGATGATTCGCAATGACTGTCTCCGAAACACGTACATGTTACTACAGGTTCAACTTTGTAAGTAAATTTCCAGAGGCACCAGGCTTACAGTGAGTCTTCTTTGGCCTGTGACGAAGCACTGCAGTACAGCTAAGCCCAATGCTTCTTAATGATAGGTAAGTGCTCCCCAAGCCTGCAAAGCCTTAATGATCGCCCAAGGGCCAGCAGAGGTCTCCACGTTGGCACCATCCATTCAGTCAACATTGCTGGGCACTAGTTGTATGCAGGACACTGTGATGGAACTAAGTTAATGTGGAGGACAGCTGTGGTCACAGGGGCCACTCACTGCTTGATACGTTTTTACCATCATTGTTGCTCTTCTCCTTAAGGAACTAAGGCAGCCCAGACCCTTGACCAATGAAGTCTAACACCTGGGTTTAAGGCACTGGTTCTTGCTGTGCAGCGCTGGCACACACCTTTAATCCTAGTGTTTGGGAGGCACTAATAATTGGATCTCTGTGAGTTTGAAGCCAGCATGTTCTACAGAGTAAGTTCCAGAACAGCTAGGGCTACACAGAGAAACCCCCATCTCTAAACAAAAACAAAATAAACAAAAAGTACTGGTTCCCAGAAAAGGTCAAATAGCCATGAGACATCCACTCCACCCCACCTCTATGTGTGCAGTAGGAGTACCACACCACGACTCCCTCGGGTGATTCAAAGACAGTACACTGACAGCAGCAACGGGAGATCTACAGAAGGAAGACATGGTCAGTCACCAAATATGGCACTCTACTGGTTGCAGTTAGAACTATCCTACCTGACAGGTTTTTTGCCATAGAAAACCACTCATTATCAGTAAAGTTCACAAACTCACTCTTCGGTTTCCACCTGAAATGCTCTAAGATGTGAGAAAGGAGAAGTCTTGATAAGTCTTAGACAGATGCTACTTATTGACAGAAAAGAACTAATGTTTATCTTGTAAAACAACAAAAAACTAAATAAATAAAGCCATCCACAAATGATCCTGGAAAGAAGGAAGTGGGGAAGGTAGGAAAGGCAGCTTGGTGGCTAGTATTGGTTGTCAACTTGACCATGTCTGAAATGAACTAAAAATCCAGAAATGGAAGGCATTCCTATGAGGCTTTTTGGGGTTTTTTTGGG